CAAGTAGTCTATGTGTATATCGAGCGTGTACGTAATGTAGAAGTTCGAATAGCCTTTTTTTTTCTTATCAGGTATTGTATTTACGTCTTATGCGATAGGCAGTGAGAGTTTGTTAAGCTTTTATTTGGCAAGTTTTTTTAAATTGTTGAGTGTTTGTTTTTTTTGTTTGATTTTTTTATGCGTTTTTGCCGTGCAGCGCTAGAGCACTGCAACAGGCAGCAAAAACGCATATTTAACGACTCTGTCAGAGTGTGTGTGTATGTGTGTGTGTGTGTGTGTGTGTGCGTGTGTGTATGTGCGTGTGTGTGTGTGTGTTCAGGTATTTCAACTCGCCAACCACGCAAACTTTGGAGCTGGAATTTTGCCAGTTTGTTCCCTAGCCAAGTACCGCCCGAGGACCGTGGTACCAACTCTCAAGCACGTCTGGGCCTCGCGTACGAGCACGTGGAAGTTTTGGCGCGAAAATTACTAACCGGGGAACGTGAGAAGCTAAAGAGCTGGAACTTTAGGGAAATGCTCCGTACCCGTGTATGAAAAAAAGATTTCAAATTCAGCTGCCCAGGACTGCCCAGGGTTTACGCGCAGGCACGTGAAAATTATGGCAAGAAAATTCATAACTCGAAGAAAGTTGAAACTTTGGGGGAATGATTCCTACACAACCACGACCAATAGTTTTCAAACTCAGCTCCTTAGTACCGTCCGGGACTCTCGTACGGGCACGTGGAAATTTTGGCGTGAAAAATTACTAACCCGGGAACGAAAAAAGCTAGAAAGCTCAAAACTTTGGGAGAATGTTCTTTACTCATGTACGAGCAAAACCATGTGTTTGGAAACGCCTCGGGCTCATATGCGAGCGCGTGAAAATTTTGGCGCGAAAATTACTAATACGGGAACGGGAAAAGCTAGAGAGCTGAAACTTTAGGGGAATGTTTCCTATTCATGTACAAGCAAAATCAGGTGTTTAGAAGCGCCCGGGACCCACGTACGGGCACGTGGAAGTTTTGGCGCGAAAATTATTAACCCGGAAACGAAAAAAGCTAGAAAGTTGGAATTTTGCAGAAATGTTCGCTACTCATGTACAACCAAGATCAGTTGTTTGGGGACGCCTGAGATTCACGTACGCTACGTGTGAAAGTTTTGGCGCGAAAATTACTAATCCGGGGACGCGAAAAGCTAGAAAACTGGATTTTTAGGGGAATGTTCCCCGCTCATGTAGGAGCAAAAGCAAGTGTTTAGAAATGCTTGAACTCACGTGCGAGCACGTGGAAATTTTGGCGCGAAAATTACTAACCCAGAGACAGGAAAAGCTAGAAAGCTGAAACTTTTGGAGAATGTTTCCTACTCATGTACGACCGAAATCAGGTGTTTAGAAGCACCCGGGGCCCGTGTGTAGTCACGTGGACATTCCAGTTTGGATGTGAAATTTTCTTGCGGGCCCTTCACAGGCTGATTATCTATATTTGTCTGTTTCCTGAGTGTTTTTCACTGTATTTCGTTGTTGCAGCTGTTGCTGTAAAAATGCCTTGCAGTTGATAATAAATTTTCCCGCGCTTTAGAGGCCCTAATAACGTATTGGGGTTTTCGGAACACTGCCAGAACTGTTGGGCCTGGTCGTTCGCAAGTCTTTTATCGTGTTATATTTAACTGTTAACTGTGCTGTCACATGTATAGTTGCGT